AATGCAAATTATTTGACTGAAATTAGAGCTAGAGTTCCAATCTGTCCCAAGAACAAAGAAACTGGAGAGGGAAAACCAGAATATAGTTTTGAGTCTAAGACACAAATATTATTATACTTTGGGAGGAGTACCTTTAAAAGTAAATACTTTTGAGGATAAAAAATATTAAAGTGACACCAAAAAAAATATTAAAGTGATATAATCTCTAGGAATAAATTGCTACATAATTTAACTTGCTTTCAGTTGTATGAAATACCATTTACCCTGGGTCCATAACCAATTTATTAGGACCAGCACTATATAAAAGATAGTTGTTTACTGAAGGTATATTCTGTACCTCAAAAAAACAATGTTGACCATGGCCTTTTCTGCTTTGTGGCGTGCATACAATAAAAGAGAAACAAAAAACCCCCAAACCCACTTTTCTTTTGTAAGAAATACAAGTGCAAGATAAGCATTTAAGTATGCAGAGTTTATGGCAAACATAAGCACTGAAGGACAAGATGACATAAAATACTTTTCTTGGACCACTCCAGAGAATGCTGAAATCTGTAAGTTTTTGCTACTTCCTATCTGCTTCATTTAGGTGGAAGCAGAATACTATTAGTTTTTCTAGTTTCCAGGTGAAATCCCGTACTTACAGATGTTTCAAACTTGAACTAAACGTCAACAGGGAAGAGACTATGGACCTGATTCTTTTTGGATGGCAGAGGGCAGGTAATTTTCAAAATGGTTTTTAGATACTTAGGAACAAACTTATTACCTCTCCTTAAAAATAATCAAGTTGACTCAGGGTATCCACACCCTGGAAAAATTTTTTGACCACCATTTGCAAATATGCATTTTAGGTTTGGTGTTAACACCTTGCCCAGGAAGAACGAGAGATGGCATTTTATTTTTTTCAGGAAGTTAAACTAAGCAGGCTGTAATGCTGTTTAACCATAAGGTTAAGATATATTTAATGGTTTCAACTCAAACAGTTCTCAGAATAAATCTTTTCATTCTACATTTAAAGGCCATTAAAGTCAGGGGTGGGGTGGGGCAGAGGGAAGTTTTATATAAAAACAAAATCCAGTGAAAGTCACATGTAATTCTGAGTATTTTTTACTTTGAATTGTTTCAGCAAGTATGTCAAAAGATAGACAATGACTATTCAAAAATCTCCCCCCAAAACTTTAAGAGCAGACAAAAGGGTTATCAATGTTTATGCCAAAAGCCTAAATTTGATTTACTGCAGAGCTTCATTTTACATACAATTTTAATAAGCCCTATTACTGGAATGCCAACCGTATAATACATAAAACACATGTAGCTACTAGTGGCTGGCACGGTGACACGTAAATGACAAGAGAAAAAGTGACAAAAATACAAGGGCACAACTTATTGGATCCTCTAGTATCAGAGCAAGCAGTACTACATAACTTGATAAACCCCCAATACATCAAGGAACTGTAAACCCAGATAACAACTGGTGTTTGTATACTGTTGAAGTTTGTAGGTTAAAATGTCTGCTAGATGTGAGAAATATGGATGTTAAAAAATACTAAGGCCAGCTGTCTTCCCACCCTTTCGCGGGGCAGCACTATGGCTGTCCCATCAGCTGCCTCCCCACCCTATCTCACATGTGAAAGGGGAGGAAACCCTGCCGCTGAGCCTCATCAACCCTCTACCTTTTCTCAAAACTGTGGTGATCAAAAGATGGGTTTTGTTGTTGTTGTTGTTGATTTTACAGTTTAGAATAAAGTACCAAGCATAATATTTTTATGAGTTCAGGAAGCCTGTGTCCCCTGGTAAACCTAAACACTGCATCTGCAGCTGAGATGAAAATTTGGGTGTTTCATTAGAGAACAGGCACAAAGGAAATTGTCTAGGGAGAACATATTAATATAATACAAGAAGATAGACAAAGACAAGAAGTAACTGCAAGTAGTATTTTAAATGCCACAGGAAAGTAAAGAAAAATTAGAGCTCAAAAGGTTCATGGGTTTGGCAATTAGGAACAATGAGGACCTAAGCTACTTAAAAGTACAAAACAAAACAAGGATTTGTTTCCATTAGCTTGCAATATGGCCTCTCTTCCTTATTAAGGCACAGTGAAGTTAGAACCTTCTGAAAATTGCCTTTAAATCTACTGACTTCATATTTAGTTCCTCTTTTCTAAGCTGTAAGAAAATTGCTATAAGGGTAAGGGAGTCGTTACTTACACGTAATAGACCCCTGAAATTATTCAAGAATTCTTATAGGTAAAATGCCCAATTTATATTCATAGAACACACAAAAAAGTTATGAACTTTAAAATCTTTGTAGTACTTAAAATAAATATTAAAAATTCAATATTGTTTTCAAACTACCAAGTCTACAACTAAGACTAAAGGAAACAGTGCAACCCTGACTCCAGGTTAAGTCATCTTTTCAGGTCCAACAAGCATTTCCTTCCAAGCACCAAATATAGGTGTTCAGTCAAAAAGCAAGTCAGGAGTTAGGTGGAAAAGTCTTTGTTCAATAACTCCCAGCTCTCACTCAACACCACCCAAGGAGAGAAGCCCTTTTAAATCTTCTCTAGTTCAGTTAATGGCTATTAGTTTGGCCAAGTGGGAAAAGAGAAAAACAAAATTAGTCTTTCTTACTCAATCTGCCAATATTGACCATAAGAACTTCCGAGCTGCTGGAAATCTTCACCTACCAAGGTTCAAGATACTAAAAATTCATACTTGTACAAAAGTGATTTTTAGAAGTACGCTTTAATATTTCATACTGGTGCAGGAATCTTAATAGTATTTACCAAAAGTGATAATTTCATCTTTTATTTTTAAAAACCACAGTAAGAGGGCGACAGAAAAACAGAAGACTAAGAGTATTGAAAACAGCCTTACAACTTCATGTACAACACTGGCAACTTTTATTCTGCATTACTAATCACGTCTAAATTAAAAAAACAAATCCACTGATAAGATTTCACATTCTTGTAGAATAAACAGATAGGGAGGAAACGGGAAGAAAGTAAATACAGACAGAAAAAACAAGTTTGAAGAGGGCCCCTCAAATTTCAGATGATACACTCCTTGGTTTCTTCTTTTAAGTAACTAAAAGTGCTCCTCGGTATTATCACGCCTTTTACTCTTGTTTCCAAACTTAGGGAATATTTTGCCTTTCGGATCTGAGAAACTTTACGTTTTCTCAGAAAATAATCGATACTCGGCGCTGTGGCCCAGGAACTAGACTCTCCTTTTTACTCAGTCCAGTGGCCCTTCGGGACTCACGGTTGATTCCGATTCCCACATTAGGGACCAGCCACCTTAAGTAAATACACCTCGCAAGAAGAAAGGCAGGTAAGAAAATAGGGCGCCAAACCGTCCCCTCCAACAGCCGTCACATCCCCCTAAGGAGTGTCCCTCCGGGGGCTTTTCCCAGAGCCACAGCTGTGATAAGCAGTATGGGGGAGGAGAAGCGCCCTCAACAGTCAACTCTTCCTCTTCAGGCGGCCGACGCCGACCGCACCACAGTCTCCTCCGCCCCAGCCCTTTCCCCTCCCCCGCCCCAACCTGGGTCTGAGCCAAACCCCACAGGAATGCAGCCCGGTCACATGCGCTGCGGCGGCGGTGGACGTGCCTCTCCCCCCGCGCCCCAAGGAGACCCAGCGCCATCTTGCCCTGACGCAGTTATTAAAGTCACGGGAAAATTGGTGTCTCCTCGTCCACGCCAGCACCCCGAAGTTTCGCAGAGGCCGAGCCGGGGCCCTCACCTCGCGCAGGGACAGGAGAAAATAGTCAAGGAAAAGCCTTGAGATTCCCTTCGCCACCGCTTGGGTTCCATATCGGCCGCGGAAGCAACGATCACCATCGTCACTGCTCTCTCTCTGCAACAGCCTCCCCCGACGGCTCTGGCCCCACCCGCTGCTGCAGCATGAGGTCACCGCTAGCCAATCACAACACGCCCAACAGAACACCTCGGGCACTGATTGGCTGCACGGACCGCCTCTGCCTCTCCCGACTCCGCTTACCAAGCGCTCCGGGAGGCTGTGGAGCTAGAAGACGAAATCCGCCATTACGGGGAAAGACCCCGAAAACAGGAGCCGCAATCACTGTGTTATTTTACTGGGGAAACCCTTTATTCTTTGGTTTGCCCTTTTGTTCTTCGAGATAACCGTCTCTCTGACCCTCCCTCGTTTAATCACCGCCGCATAAAGGAATTCCCGCTCCCCTTCCCGCACATTGTCCCGCCGGCGGGGAAATCCTTCCCCGGGGCCAAAGTAGGAGCCACAGACGGCAACTGCACCGACGGCAACGGCAGCTTTTTACCCCGATACACGGTGGCAGGGAGGCGGCGCTGATGGTGGCTGTATTTTTCCTGCTGCTGCTCCCCCCGACCTCTTCCGTTTCTCGCTCCTCCATCGAGACGGCGCTGCACTCGCCAGCTCCGCTTTTATCCGGTGCTCGGAGCCTGCGCACTGGAACCGCCTCAGCCCCTAGTGGGCGTCGAGTGACACCCCAACCGAGTTCATCCCGCGCTGGAGGCTAGACTGAGGAGGGGGAGGGAGAAGGGCAGACCAGGGCTGAGGTGGTTTTGGGAGTGGGAGAAAGTGCATGGGGGGGGTGTCTTTCCAGGGCCTCCAGTCATTATCCTTCCACCCAGCAGTGGCGCGCCCAAGCTCACCGATATCCAGACTTGAGGGCTACTCAGGGAAAGGGGATAAAGAACCAATCCCATCAAATACCGAAACTTTCCCAAACCTTCGGTGAATTGTTGAATGCATCTGTTGTGAAATAGACGGAGATTCTGTCCACCGCTCTGCCTCCAGTTGGCTGTCTTCTAGCCGCGGTGGAGAGGGAACGGCGGGCGGCAGCCCACAAGCAAAATGGCGGCGGACAGCTTCGTCCCCTCCCCCTCTGCCCCTGCGGAGCGGGGCGGGCGGGCCCCGTGCACTTGCCGCCGCCGCCGCCGCCGCCGCCGCCGCCGCCGCCGCCGCCGCGGCCGCCGCCGTCAGCCGCCATTTTCCCAGAGCGAGAGGCAGTGACACTGAGCGGGCGCAGGGGGCCGAGTCCGAGACGGTACCTGAGTTCGGGAGCGGCAACAGAGGGGGCATAGACACTCTTGAGCAGCCTCGCCGTCGCCTCTGCGTTCCTGTTGACTTTCTCGGTGCCCCCTCCCCTACTCCTCGGTTGCTGGTGAAGAGGCTGCGCGCTGCTGTTTGGGGAGGGGGTGTGTGGAGCCGGGTCCTGAGTCCGCAGTGGCTGCTGTCGGGGGGTCGTCCGACCGCGGAGGTGTGGACAGACTCCTTGGGGGTCGAGCAGATAACGGGGTTCGGGTGTCTGGTGTGTGAATATCACAGGTCAGTGCCTGTCGTCTCCTTGGGAGTTCATGGGGTTTGCGGGGTGGAGGGACGTGTGTTTCCAGGGGTAGGGGGCTTTCGCATCTTTATTTTTCCGGCGGGGGTGGGAGTCGACGTTGGCTCTCAGGTGTCTTGGCGGGGGCAAGACGTTGGTTGTTTGAATCGAATTTATCCTTTCTCTTCTCTGTCCCCAGAAAGGGAACATTATGGCGGGTTTTAGGGTTGGGGAAGGGGAAACTGGCAGTTAAACCCCCTTGAGAGTGGGAGTTAGGGAGGGGGCGCGCTCCTCGCTAGCTGTGGGTTAGGGCCGCTTGGGTGAGGAGGGAGGCTTGTGACTGTTAGTAGGGTTTGTGTTGAAGTGGTCCCAGGAGCTGCCAGCTCTCCCTGCCCTCTACCGCATCTCGTTCAGGTGCTGGGAACCCGTCTAGGCCCCATTTTCTTCTGCTGTTTCCATTTCTTGCCTGGCAGTCTCAGGTTTAATTTTCTCATAAATACGAAGGGGGTGGAAAGAACGCCCTGGGTATCTATCTCCCTTTGTGGGAGAACGAGACAGCTCTTCGTCCTCTCCAGGAGAGGGTAAAACCGCCCCTGAGGTGGTCACCCCAGTACCCAGCCTTCTCAGTCTCCTCCCCCCCCCCCTTGCATTATCGCCGTCCTTTACTGTAGCGGAGGCTTAGAAGCCACAATATGGCACATTTCAGGGAAGCTGATTTTGACCAAGGGATTGGCACAAACACTGTGGCAGCAGACACAGAAGAGAAACAAACGGTTCACTGTGCTAAATGGGGGAGGGGGAGAGAGAAAACAATCCGGAGGGCTCTCTTCCACCGGCCTTAGCTCCGTAGAGATCCGTTCTTGCTAGACTCTGTCTTAAGAACGATGCAGTTTCAAGGCAAAGGGAAATCGCTAGAGTGGCTATAGAGTAAACCCCGTTTTGCCTGTTTCCCCCCTTTTTAGAGATGTGAATAACGTAAGGTGTTTGGAGTTCTGGAGACCTTGAAGAGAATTAAGTGAGGTGCATTCAACTCTGAGGTGGAGACATCAATACCTAATTGGAAAACAGTCCATTTTTTCTTTTAATCTCCGAGATGGGCAGTAAAAAGTGAAATTTCCCTCTTTTGTCCTTTACAGATTCTAAAAATGGCGGCCCCAGGCTGATGTTGTGGTAATCTAATCAGCTCGGGTCCTCCACACCCCTTGCAGTGCGTTTGTCTGCAGCATATTACAGGCTTATTATGTTTACATGAAAAGGCTGGGCTTTTTTCTTCCCCAAACCGTTTACAGAGATGTGTTGATTTTACTGCAAATTACAATGCTGTGTCTTAGTTGATTAATTTTATGGCTTTTTCCTGAGAGGCAAAAAAAATACCACTTTTGAAAAATAAAAACACTCAGGTGTTTTTAATAGAAATTTCAGTAGTGAGGCCAGGTGCTCTTACATATTAAAAAAATTATTTAGGGGCAAATAATAGTTTTTGTTTGGTTTAATCCAAAGCGTCTTTTATTCAATAAGCCAAAGTAAATTAAAATGTTTAGTAAGTGTGTAAGTACAACCTATTTTGTGTGATTAGACATTTTAGTCTAGAGTGGAACGTTTCCCATCCAACTTTCGACCAATTTTGTGAATTTTGGTTTTTGTAATCTTTCAGATTTTTAGGGAGCTGTACAAACAAGCCTAAACCTGTTACTTCACTGGGTGTGGAAATGCCTGTTCTTCTCACTATTATATTTGGCATCCATTTTTCCCATATCTTTAAGCATTCCTTAGGAATTTTGTAAGTTATGTATTTGATAAAGTGGAGCTGCATGCTTTGCTGCCTTAAAATTGTCTTACAGCATTCTGTTATAATTATGTAAGTAAAAAAGTAAGGCTCTAGCTCTTGATATTTTTCCTTCCCAAACATGCCCGTTTATTTACCCATTATGGGATATGGAATTTAGTCTGTTTTAATAGACTTTAAATAAAAGCCATGTCATAACAGGGTTTTGAATCCATTTTATGCTATTTTCAAAATCTTACAGATTGGGGCAGAAAATTAAATGGCGTCATTTAACTTTATTTTTTAAAGTGTGAATGATTAGAATTCATCTCTATAGTGGGAAGTTGATCTTTTTTGGCCTGAAGTAAGCAGTGAGCTAAGAGTGGGCTATTAATGGCATTTAATGACCATTCTGATTGTGGAGCAACTGGAAGAGGAGTGCCTTTCAATCCAGTAGTACTTAAAAAGGTTGGAGAGGATACACCCTTTCATGATTCTCTTATTTCATTGTAAATTCTGCTCTAAAATACTTACAGTGGAATAAGAGATTTATGAAGTTCATATATGAATTAGACTGATGAAAAATTTCTAATTTACAAAATAATAGTAGAAGTTACCGGCTTAGGGAGTTTTATCATGGTAGACTGAGCATACAACTTTACTTAGAATCTTTGAAATATTTTATAAGATGAAGTGTTGGTGGGTAGTGGAAGAGTTTGTGTAGGGACTTGGGGTCAGTACTCATTTGTCATATGCTCTGACTGATCATATAATTCAGATCATTAACTGCTGTGTAAAGATTGTACATTTATTTTATAGACTAAGTGGTTAAGATCTGTGGTTCAGAAGGTTGGTACTTTAAACTTACTATCTAATATAGGTAGGTAGTATACTCTTGGGAAAACTTGGTTTATATAGCCAGAGGAGGGAACACTGTTTATACGCATGTTTTTGTTGATCTTGACCTTGATCACGTCTAGACTTATAAGGCATTTGGATTTATTTGGCTTCAAATAAACAATATCAAGTTAGAAATTATAAGAAAAGCTGCCTTCACTCCTACGAGCTTTCTTCATACTGGCCTGCTTCATTGCTTTGTGGTTTGTTTCTTTTTGTTTGTATTGATATGTTTTTGGTTCCTATAAAGTGAGTCTGGCTTTTTATTTATTTTTTGTATATTGCACTTTATAAATAACATGGTTGTAAATGTTTGCTTTTTATTCATGTATACCCCAATTGACTATCTATGTTTTGGATTGTCAAGGCAAATTTATTAAAAGGTGAGGCATAATTTTTGTTCCCAGAGAGTTTTGAAACATTTGGTGCCTTGGGGCAAAACTAGTCAAATGGTCTTTGTTCTTAGAATAGCTGAGTTTGAGGGATTAGTTGTTTATCTGTTTAAGTGGATTTGTAGAGATCATAATGTAATTGGAGAGCAAATTTTAGAGACCACATTTTGATCATGCTTCCCTTTTGTTGTCAGTATAAGTTACAGGACCCCTTCAATCTCAATTTAAGCTTAGAACTTTTACAGGACTTCTAATTTCTCTTCAACTCTTTAGGTCTCTGATAACTCTTCTACAATTTTGCCTCGTCTGTTTTCCTCACTGCTTCCAGCCGGAGAATTTTTACCATATATACCGCAGTAAGCTCTAGGATTTCTTGAATCTAAAAATGAGGAAGTGAGGCAAAAAGCCAATTAATAAGTTAGGAGAAACTCTTCCTCTCAATATATACTGTAGTGGTCTTAGTGAAATTAGAACTTATTAAATTGGTTTCTTATTTCTAAGAATAATATTGCCCATTTTTATGCATCAAACTCTTAAAGAAGGTTATGGTTTTATTTTTTTAAGTGTATTTTATAAATCCTAACAGCTCTTCTTTTCTGGAAGTTACTGCTGGGACTTAAAATGTATACTACCATTGTGTGTTTAAAGTATTGTATAAAATCAACAGGACTTTGAAGAGCTATCAAAAAACTGCTTAAGGAATATTAGTATGGAATCTTAAGAGACATTGTTTATTTTTTTTAATATTTTAATAATATATAAAATAGCTTCTATCTCCAAAAGATTCATTCTTAGCAGATAGTAGGTGCCCAATTTTTTGTTCAATTTAAAGCTTTTGTTAAGTGAACACATTTACATCTCAGATATTCAGGGTGATCAGGGACTGTTCCTTCTCATGTGTGAGAATAAATGTTAAATACATGTATTCTGTGAGATTTACTTTTTAATGTTGAATATAGAATTATTTTTACTTTGATAAAATTATCTTTTGTGTTGACTGGCAAAATAACAAGACAGATACTATTTGAGATATTGCTGTGTAAATGTTATTCAGTTTGTAGGCTGGGTTTAAAATTGGAGTGGCTTACTATCTCTTTTTTACTGCCTCTTTTGTAATAATGTTGGGAGTAGACTCATTTTTTTCCTTAACATTGAACGAAAAAAATATTTTTGTATTACCTAAAAATTTATTTAATATGGAAGAGCAATATTTGTGGTTGAAAACTGTTTTTAGTGCACTAAAGTTTTGAAGTAGACAGTATTTAATGGTAACAGTCTTGCCATTGCAATTTAAGGATGAGTATTTTGTAAAGAGGTAGGAGTTGACCAAAAGAAATTGTTTTCTGTTATTGTGAGCACTTATGATGAGTGCCACAGTAAAAATCAAATGGTAGTGACTCAGGCTAGGTTAATTAGATCTTACTTGTATCTTTAAGAATATGAGAGGTTTTTATTAACCATTGGTAACCAGGACGCTTTTTACTTAAATCAGAATCAAGAAGATAGTTTTATATTTCACTTGATATGTATTTTTGCTTGATATCAGTTCAGTTCTTGTGGATAGCTCATAAATCAAATTTTATTTTAAATTGTGTAGGAAAGCCATGTTAGTATTGTTAGGTAAATTTTATACCTTTGTTGAAAATCTCATTTGGTTATTTACCAAAACTATTTAAGCTTTTAGGGACGTTGGACATTTTCCATGCAACAGGTCAGTCACAGATGTCTTCTTTGGTGTGTTGCATTGATGCCATCAAAACAGACATTATGCTTTTTAATGAGTAAATAATTTATAATTTAATGAGTAAATAATTACTTGTCTATCATTTTAAGTTAAAATACCTATTTTTGCGTTTTAAAACTATCTCAAATGTGAAATCTGGGTTTAAGGAAGGACCTATATACAGGTCAACATGAGATACAAAATGATAAGCACAGCTTTCTTTATACA